AATTAATTAAAAGTAATTACTATCTTACTATGTTCTCATATTATGTTAGTATATATATAATTTATTAATATTCCTTTTACTACTAAAATTATTAACGTTTAGTTACATAATTAAATAATTAACTAGTTAATTACTAATGTTTATTTAATAATCTGTTATTTGATATATCACGTGATCAATTTTTAGTAATCATTCTTTTTATAATGATTAATTACTAATTATCAATTATTAATTATTATTGATTAATATATTACATATTAATAATTAAAATTTAATATTAATTATTAATTGAGTAATTACTATTTATTGTTTATTTATCAACTTAATAACCTATTATACGTTATATAATTAATTTTTTACAATTAATTTTCAACTAAATAAATAATTACTATATTATTTATTATTTTATTAACAAAATTAAAAACTTAATAATAATAAATTAATATTGAACTAATAATTAAATAATTACTATGTATTTATTAGTTATTAAGTATATCGATTTATTCATTATTAATTAATATATAATATAATTATTTATTTATTATTAATTATTTAATATAAATTTGTTGATAATCATTAATTGTATGATGCCGATTTCCGCACAATATAAAAGTTAAAGTTGTCTTCAGGCTCCTTCTGTAACACCTGGTTAAATTAATTGAGATCAATTAATCTAATCCGAGATTAGTGAAAAAAAATTAGTTATAATTATCACGTAAAGGACATTTTCTTTTAAAAATAATTATTTTGAAATTGACACTATTGTCCCCCAAACAGTTTTAAAGTGTCGGTAGCTAATTTTTTAGAACATGAATAATGGGTTATTCCATACTCTATTCAAATTGGGCTTTGAAGTCTAATCATCAAATTTGCACAAAAAAACTCAAGCTCATTTTTCCTTTTTTCTTTTCTTTTTCTCTTTTTTCTCACATTCTCTCTCTATTCCACGTCCACTATCTCCTTCCCTATCTTTCTCCATGACGGCCAAAACACTCCGATGAGGATTCTAGTGTCCGTTTTTTACACCTCCTGGCTTGTTGTAAAGATCTCAACGAGCTGAGTATGTTGACACGTTGCATGACCTCCAACTCCGCGTGGAATTAGCCGCAATCGTCGGTCGAAGTTCCAAAAACAACCAAAATTTACACAGCTCGATCAGAGTGAAGAGACGAAAAAAACCCATCCATTTTCACAGCTCGATTCTCGCTGGAGTGCCATCGCCGAAGCGGCCCATTTCGGTCGTCACGCCTCTTCTCCGTTATGCACTATTCCGGCCTTCGTTGATGACACCGCTGTGTCATGAACGGAAAATTTATCATAAATATTGTATAAGATAGATTTTCCTAAAATCCTTTGCATTATCAATATGAATACTTTTATGATGAGTACTTGTTGATAATAGTACTAAATAGCAAGTTATAAGTTAAAAATCAGAAATTTCTGAATTACGATGTAGTTACGGATTTTCATACTATAATTAAGAAAGAAGCACGGAACATTGTGTTAAACCCACAACTGGGTAAACACATGAATACTAAGGTTAAGAAATGAAAAAGAATTGAAAGTCATTAATTCTAGGGTTTTAGAAACAATCGAAACGAAAAATGGACGAAAGAAGGGGTTCAGAAGGACAAATCACGTAAATTGGGGTTTCGATTGATTTAAGTGGACCGAGTCAAATTTATTGACCAAGAGTTGACCAAAACATCGCCCTTAAAAAGTTAGTCAAGAATGGTCAAAGTTGACTAGGTTGACCAACTGTCTGAAAAACGCAGATAAAACGCGCACTAGACCGGAAATTAAGCTGAACCAAAATAGGATAATTATTAAATCAATTAATGGTTGAGATTAAAAGTGATAAATGAATGAAGGGAGGATATTGTGACATGTGGAGAGAGAGAGAGAGAGAGAGAATGGCCGGCCAACTTAGCGAAGAAGGAATGGGATATTTTGTCAAATTTTGCAAAAAGGCCCTTAGGAAAAGTCAAAATTTCATTTTGGTCTCCTTGCTTTTTGGATGGTCGGTTCTTTAAGGAAAAACACAAGGGAAATGACCATTTTCATGCAAAAAGAACAAAGAGCACCAGCCAAGAGAAAAGAGAAAAAAAAAAATTTACCAAAGTGACGAAAAATAAGATTTAAGCAGAAATCGACGAAGTTACCGAGGAATAGCGTTTTCGAAGCTTGTTCTTCATTCTCTAATGTGAGATTTCAAGTTTTTCCTCTCATTTCCTCACCTTGGCTGCCCGTGGAGAATAGGAAAATCATGGGAAAAAAATTTACTTAGAATGATGATTTGCTTGTAATGGTTAAAAAACTTGAAAATCTAGTGAATTAAGGATAAATTCTTGGTTATTGAACTTTTGTTTCTAGCAATTCTTGATATGGAGAATTTTTGTGGAAATATGGAACACACCTTAGAATTGTGATGTTATTGGTGGTAAATGGAATGAGAAAGAATGTGGTTTGAGTTTGAAGGTAGAAACTGTTGGGAATAGTGTCCTAGAAGCATGAGATGTAATAGGATATTTATTATTTATTTAATAAAAGAGTTTATTCATTATTTTATGTGCATATATTTATGAATATTTTATGAATATCAATGAAAATTCCATGATTATTTATGTAACCTTAAACATTGTATATAAGTGTTATATACGAGAGGATAATGTTTAAGGATAATAATCAAAAAGCAATGTTCATAATGAATTTAATTAAAGTTCGGAATCTTTAATTAAAACATTATTAATACATGTCATTCCCATTTAGAATGGAATGGTGTTATCCGCACTATTAATATGGTGAGCTATTGAATGAGTGTATTTCGCATAATGAGATTATGTGGAACAAGGACACAGACACAATATGAATTTCTAATAATTCCGTTAAGTATAGAAATTCTAATTGAGTCTACCGATGGTCATATATAGGATGATCTTAATCCTGAGTTCTTAACATACTCCTATTTATGGATTTGTGTCTTTTGATTTACTCGGTACGGATTCTGAGATCCTGAATCCTATTCCTTGTATTTTGGAGACATGATGAAGTAGGTAGCCGGGAATGTTATTACACGAGATGGAATCCATTCCTTCTTAAGAAAGAAGTAGATAAATAATTCTCTTGAGGGTTGATTCAGTACTTGGACCAGTAGGAGCTCCGATTCATGAATGTGTTTTATGAATCACTGTCCATTAGAGAATCAATAGTA